ATCTGGCGGACCACATCGTATCCCACAATTTCATAAGTTTCTCCAGCACAGGTAAGGTATTGTTTTTGGTAAAATGGGAAGAGCCTCGTGAGGTGTCCAATTTTGAGTAGAGTCTGAGCCTCGTCTTAGGTCCGTTAAAGTCCTCTGTGCGTCAAATTCGGTGTAACGGCTGAGTTACGAAGGCACAACGAAAGCGATCACGAGTTCGTCCGACTGAAACAGTCAACCTCGAAGGTCTACGATAAATTTAAAAACTAATTAAACTGAAGTAGTCGACGGAAGTTCAGTTCGGAGTGCATCTTTCGCAGGGCGTTAAGTTACTCAGTGCACCCTTGCCTCAGCGAACTTCAGGCCTCTTTCTTTAGGAGAAGAGGAGAAGTGAGAGGCTAGAGAGGCAATAATGGTTTATTTTTTACAGAAGGAGTGGAGATTATGCTGGAGAAGGTTGACACTCGGACAGGGCTGCTTCCGGCGCGAGAGCGGCCTCTGAAGTGTGAGATAGTGGGGTTGTCACAAACGCCTACAAAGCGGTCTTTGTGTGAGTCAGGCTCAGAGAGATGATTGGCCAGACCGGGATAGGCTGAAGTCAGTACATATGTGCGAGCAGTCGCGAGAGTTCAACGGCTGAGCTTTGGTGTGTATGTACGTTAGCCACCATGGGGGATCGAGCGTTGACGCAGCTTGCGGCAAACGAGGCTGGGCGACCGAATCTGCCATCACGCTACCTGATGCCTGGCGTGTCGCCGGATGTGAAGTCACTACACATCCACGATGCCAAATTGCAGAAAGCTGTCTTTTAGGGCACGGACTAGCCGCAACGCAGCACTTGGATTATAGATATTTGGAAGATCACAGAGTCGGGCCGCAGCCGTGTCAGTTATATTCAGCTGGCAGTGCTCATTCTCCGTGATCACATTCTTGCGCCGGTAGTCTCTAGGCCGTTTCTTTGGCCAATCAGCTAATGCTTAAGCCTGAAGGATCGTTGCTGGTCCGTGCACTTGTTCATAGACACAAGCAACTCGCGGTTCACAAGATTGTCAATTTTCGTGAGAATTTCGGCCTCAGCGCATTTGAATGTGTGACCGGGTCTCAAGGAATGAGCCGTGACTTGAGAATCGGTGACATTTTCAGCACTGATGCCGCATGTTCGGCAATTCGCGTCTTTATTAGTCTGCCAGTTTCGGTGACGCAGTAGCTCTGCCCACAATTGTACCAAATCCGATAGATTACTCTGCGAGTCCGTTAACGACGTTGTTTATTACCTTTGCTCTGCACCTCTGGAGACCGTGACTTCTTAGCGGAAACTGTTCAGCTAAACAACCACAATTTTGGTGGTATTGAACGGTTGTCTTCGGGACTTTAATAGTTGACTTTGCAAAACAATTGTAATTAAAGTTACATTACTACTTCAATCAATTCCGTAGCTTGGTGATCTTCTTGTTTTATGGGCGCTAAGGCTTATTACCCCTGTATGCATTTATATAGACCCCTGTATGCATTTATATAGATCCCTGTATGCATC